ACCAGGACTGGACACCCTGCAGACACACTGACCCCTCCAGGACCAGGGCTGGACACCCTGCAGACACATTGACCCCTCCAGGACCAGGACTGAACACCCTGCAGACACACTGACCCCTCCAGGACCAGGACTGGACACCCTGCAGACACACTGACCCCTTCAGGACCAGGATTTTTATTTCCCATCAGCTCTTAACAACCCCAATCAGTTAATTGACCAAGTAAACAGTAAAGTGTCAGGTCATGTTTAATGTGATCAATAATGTGGAGGCTGGTAGCACATCAAAAGGCTGGTTCTTCAAAGTCCAGTCCAGTTGTATTTGATTTTAATACTTGCAAAAATGGGATTTATTTTTGCAAAGGCACTCACAGAACGTTTTTTTACATGGGAAAGCTACAATTTGCATCCCACTGCATATCAGATAACGAGGGAGGTAGACTGGGGATATTTCCCAGAGCCCACCTGTGCACGAAGGACTCCGAACTGCTGCCCTTCTGCTCTTGCACGGCCCCAGATCATTCGAACCTCCTCCCCCTTCCTGTTGCCTGTGAGCTGTGTTTTCGCTGCTCCCTCGAATCCGCCAGTGTTTCAGTGCAAAAGCATCTCTGGGAGTTTTTAGCGTCTGGGGACTGCCAAACCAAATTCTTGACAGCAACAACAACAACAGAAAAAAAAAGAAATTAGAGTTCTGGTTTATGCAGTGGAGTCTGGCAGCTCTTAATCCCAGGCAAGAGGTTGACAACGGCTCCCGCCTTTAGCGAAGGAGCACAGCAGCTGTCTCGGCCCTGCGCTCTGACAGATGGCCGGCGAACACAGGGCCCGACACCAGCCCCCCGCCCTGGGCCCCCCCCCCCAGCAGGCAGCCCGGCGGCCCGCGGGGACGAGGAGAGGGAGCACAGCGGGCGGAAGAGGCCTCTTCCCTCTGGCTCCCCGGCGTTACGCGACATCAATGTGTTGCTTTTTAAAGATTCCCCGAGACTCACTTCTAATCAATTAATCATCCCGCGTGAGTCCTGAATGAATCACGGTGTGTAAGAGGAGAGAGGGAAGTGGTGGGGGGGGGGGTTAGGTTTCAACTCCCTCTCTGCTCCCTAGAATCTACAGTATTGTCTATAACAAGAAACCCAGTAAAGACCAATGCAATCAAATTAACTGCCGATGAGCCTTTGTGTTGTAACCTTTGCATTTCTCAGGCTAGGCAGGGGCCACTGTCTCAGAATAGGGGGACCCAGTGGGGTAGAGGTTTGTTTTTAACTCCTCGAGGAAATGCGCTTCCTACATACTGCGTTACTGAATGATGGCTCACAGAGGTTTAGATATGACAAAGGGTCTGTGACTGTGTGTGACCCTGCGATGGACTGGCGTCCCGTCCAGGGTGTATCCTGCCTTGTGCCCGTTGCATGCTGGGATAGGCTCCGGCTATCCAGAGCCTGGGCTATCTTGCTGGCTGGATGACCAAGGGCTGTAGCTCCTTTTCTGACACCGTGTGCCTGCAGCGGTTAAATGCCCACCTGGGTGAAAGTGCGGTCTGCTTCACGCGGCGCCCAACCATTTCCGCAGGGTCTCCCAAGAGACGCCAGTTCCAGCGGCAGAGGGCAGCCAGCGAGAGCATGGACCAGGAGGAGCACGAGGCCCACCACATCGACATCATCCAGTACATCGCCCGCACGCACAACGTGGCGTACCGCCCCCCCAGCGCTGGCGCCGGCCTGCTGCCGCCCTCATCCTCGCCACCACCCTCCCTCGGCAGGTATCTTTAATACCCTCGCCATTCATTCACCACCGCCACCACATCTCCGCGCCCATGAGGTACTCCCTCATCGCATTGCACTCCTCCACAGGTTCTCTGTTCCAGCTACGCATTTCAGCGATCATCCGCAGCAGGGCCAATTAAGCCATTAAGGGTCAATTAAGCAATTACATAAACCATTCAGTCTTGATTTAGGCCGAGAACAATTATCCGGGGCTCGTGTTTACTCTAGCACGAGCTCAATGCAGCTTGAGGTAAGCTGGCATCTATTCCTTTAAGGTGCAGAGCAAATGTGCAGGTTCTTAGAGTAGGGCAGGCCTATCAGGAGAAGGCGAGTAGAAACAAAAACTTCAAAGTGCAGCCGCCATCTCCAGCTCTCTTCGCCCCCCCCAAGATTACCGAAAAGCCCTGAAATGGAAGAGTGTAGTTGCAGCCTGTACCCTGAGAAGCGAGGTGTGCAAATCCACATCCTTCCAGACCTCAGCCGCGTCTGCCAGCATGTGTCACAGGGCCTCGTGACATCACACAACACCGGCTACAGGCTTGGGCGGCCCATTCGGCACACCTAGCCTGTTTGGTAGTGAGAGGCTCATGGATCCTGTCCAGCTGCTTCTCGAAGGAAACCACGATATCAGCTTCACAGGTGGCTAGCTCCATAACTCTCACGGCATCGTGTGTGAAGAATGACGCTATTCTCACTCGTACATCCATTCTGCGCATGTGTCAGTGTATACATACCACACCATGGGCTCTTTCTGCTAGGACGTGCGAGGTAAACGTCTTTTCATGCCACATTCATAATACACGCAAAGCTGTGTTCAATCAGGAAGAGCCTCTGTCTTTTCCAGCGGTCCCTGGACCACACCATCTTAATTCCCACAGGACGCAGGGCTACCGGAAAAGCATTCCAGTCCCCAGGACGGCGCTTTACAGAGGAGCGATTAGTTTTTGAAGGATTACGAAGTTGATGCGAGTTGTCCTGCCTGACCAACAATCATGTGTGCCATGTGCGTTATAACGCACAGGATGGGAAACAGCTTCCATCAGGGCGTCCGTTGTGACCCTCCTGACTCAGAAGCTCGCCAGCCTTCCATTTTGCGCCCCGTCCTGTGAGGGGAGGTGTCAGATGCAGCTCTTGTGGCCCTGGGTGGAGGGTCTTAACGGCTGTGTGTGGGTGTCCTTGCTGCAGGTTAGAGACGGTGGAGGTGGTGCTGGAGGCGGGAACCGGCGTGATGGCCCCTCCCCTGGCCCCGCCCCAGGGGGAGGAGGGGGCGGGCTGTGGGCGGGAGGGCTCCGAGCACCAGACCATCTACCGGGACATCTGGACCCTGCGCGCCTCGCTGGAGCAGTACGCCTCCTCCGACCAGAGCAGCAACAACGACAGGGATTCCGTCCGGAGCGACGCGGATAGCGTGTGCTCGCTGGGGGGCGGCGGGGACAGGGGGGGGCTGCCCAGCTACCCTTCGCAGGACATCGAGGACGAGCTGGAGGCGGAGCTGGAGCCGGGGGCGGAGAGGGAGGGAGGGGCCAAGCAGGGCAGCGTGGACTCGGAGAGGGGCAGCGACGGGGAGGCGGGGAACCGGAAGCTGCTGCAGATGGACAGCGGCTACGCCTCCATCGAGGCCCCCCCCCGCGCCCCCGAGGAGCTGCGGCTGTTCGGCAGCGCCGGCGCCGGCGGGAAGGACAAAACGGCCTCGGAGAAGAGGCGCTTCTTCACCAGCGCGGGGCGCAAGGGCACGGTGTGCGAGAGCTTCGAGGAGCGGCTCTTCGACGAGGAGCTGGAGGAGGAGTCGGCGGGCAGCGGCGCCGAGCAGGAGAGCCCGCTGGGGTGGTCCCCCTACGGGCGGATGTTCGGCGCCCAGTCGCCCCCGCCGCCGCCGCCGCTGCCGCCCCCCCTGCCCCGCCGGGACTACAGCATCGACGAGAAGACGGACGCGCTCTTCCACGAGTTCCTGCGCCACGACCCGCAGTTCGACCAGCCCGACTCGCCCCTGCGGGCCAAGCACCGGTCCCGCGCCCACCTGCGCAAGGCCTGGCAGCGCGCCAAGCAGTACAGCGACCCCGGCGTGCGCTTCCCCCCAGCCTTCGAGAGGCACCGCACCCCGCTGCGCCGCGGCGACAGCGTCAACTGCCCGCTGGACGCCCGCTACCACGGCACCCTGCCCCGCATCGTCAG